GAAAATAAGCGTTATATAAATAATAAGAGAACACATTATTTAATTTTCATAAATTATGTAATGAAGTCACTTGGCTCATTAGCAAATTGATGTTTAAAGCTAAAAACAAATAGAAAAGGCTTACATTAGAAAGATATGTGACCACCCAGGCTTCACGCAAACTTCATAGCGTTTAATCGTTTCTCCCTTAAACACACACAAAAGATTTTCATTGCTTCTCGAATAGTAACGCAAAAATTCAACCAACAGCTTTTATGTCAGGCAGTTTTAAAATACGAACTTTTAAATATAATTCTTCTGTATAACTTGGAACAATTTTAAGTAGTGTAAGACTTATTACAACAAAGGTATAGCGGCTAAAGAATACGGTCAGCATGGAACAAATTCACATCTTGAGTCGCAGTGTTTACTTCTGATTGAATATTATTTAATTACCCTCACATTATAATCTTCAAACATGTACGGAATCGCATCATGGACGAAGTATTCATGATGCTTAAAGTTATTTTGCAAAGGCCCCTTTACTCTGAGTTAGGTTTTATTCCAAAACACATCGTCCATTTACGGCTTCGAAATGCATTTCCTACCTGAGAACTTTTATCATCACGTTACGAAACCTTTCGTCTGCATTGCAGTGTCTTTGAAGTCTACTGTTGTCTCCTGCCTGTTAATCTGTAATGACTCTAAAGTAGTCTTAGTGCGTCTGTCTTCCTTTGAGATTTAGTTTAATGAACATCGCGTCCAGATTGCCCACTCAGATATTTCGTGTCTACTGTTTTGTTAACAGTAGACACAAAATACTTAGTTGAATATAATAATAACTCTCGAAACTTATACTAAACTAAAAAACTCAAGGAAATTTATTCCTTTGATATTTAAATTTAGCGCAAAATTAGATTGAGCCCACCAGCGGTCGAGCACTGGTCTCCGAACACTGGTCGTTAGGTCGAAGGTTCGACCTAACGACGAAACTAACTAACGTTCGAAAGGTCAAATCTCCGAACACTGGTCGTTAGGTCGAAGGTTCGACTCCCAGGAACGGGCTGGCTACATGGGCGTTTTCATGGTTTTCTCCATGTGTAATGTGTTAATACGAGCCATTTTCCTTTAGAAAGTCCTCCACGAAGGCATTCCTCCCCTTAGGCAGATAGCCCTAGTGTGCTTTGCCGTAATCTCAATAAACCAAGCCAAACCATCCTTAAAGAAATTAAAAGAAAAAAAGAGCATAACAGACGAGTAACTCAATGAACTTCAATGCTACATCATCAGAGGAAAACAACATATCATCTCTTCTGTTTAAAAAAATTTTTTTGGTGTTATATATCTTTATATATATATACACTCAAAAATTCTTTAATTTAATTAAAAATACTACATATGTTCATTTATTTCAGTAAGAATTCTCTTTCAATGAAGGTACATGAATGCCATACTTGAGATTTCGAAATCTGAAAGTCAGTTATTTACATTAAATATAGGCTCATAAATATATTTTCATGAGGTACTTTTTGTAAACTTACATTCTGAAAATTCTTCTTACAACTCCTTATTCATACTTTCGTATATTGTATTTTAAAAAATGGCATGTATATTAGAGTGTATTCGGGCATGACATACAAGATAAACATCAAATGCGATATGTGGTATATATATGTCATAATAAAAGCAAAGGAAATGACGGAACACTGTAGATGCGTGCTTAGATCCATATTGAAGAAGATTTTTGATTACGTAGTATTTAAAGAACTTGGCAGTCGAGGCAGTTTTAATTACATTTTTATTTCCAATTGATATTTGTGGCCACAATCACTTGGCACTCTAGTCGTGCCTTTCCACAGAAGATTTACATTTTTGATATTGTTGAAATAGAAAGCAAGCCAGCGAAATTACATCTTAGCAGAGTAGAGGGCAAAAGCTGAAGTGCGTCGTTATGAAAGATAGAAGCACGCGAAGAGAAAAGTTTTGGTTTACAATTCGGTGATTGGTCGTCAAGAGGCATCTGGTATTAACGGTTACGTAAGATCGCATGATTAATTTGAATGACGCAATGCAGATAAGTTATCACGATTTTAGAATAGAGAGGAAGAATTAATCTTTATAGTTATATTATAATTCTGATTCATACATTTTTATCTTACATATATATATGGTATTTGCGACTACTCTTCTCCCTGTTTATAAGCACTTCGTCAGAGCTCTAGGCATGATAATCTCCATTAGCGCTCGATAAGTCAGGGTCCCTGTAGAATGTACAAAGAGGGATTGAAGGATACAACTCTTCATCAAGAATATTCAGCTTTATCCTTATTTTGCTCCGGCTTCAAAGCATGAGATTTAATAATTATGTATGCTGAATGCGAATGAAAGTTACGAGAGATATTACTTTTTGTGAAATATGTTCTCTACGAAGGCAACGCTCCCTTCCGTGTAGTACCTTGAGGCAAAACACGTATTAGTACCAGCTTAATGAATGTATTAACCTCTGCATTCCATTAATAAACTTGCCTAAAAAGTTACGACGTCGATCCCGTCGGTCATTGGCTAAAATTTGGGCAGCGGTTGCTAGTCGCCAGTCATTATTACGAAATTCTAAAGGATGTAATCATCCCCTCCGATCATTATTATGGAATTCTAAAGGAAGTGGTCACTCATAATTTGCGCTAAATCCCACTATTTGGGCCGGTCGACGGAATAATACGAAAGTATCAAATTACCTTTTGCAAATTGGACAATACATAAAAGGAAGTAACAGTGCTTGTGGGTTAGCCCGTACCAAGCGAAATGTACTTTTAACAACACCAATTATGACTCTGCCGTCCTCAAATCGTTCCGCCAATCCTAAGCTCACCTGCTCGCCTGTGATCGTTGTGGCAAAATTCGAAAACTGTTGTAGATGATGTTTATTGAACATGATCATTAGGTACCCATTAGTGCGTAGGCACCAAAATAACAATATATAACATTTATGGTAGTGCAACTACAGCCCTTGTGGAAGTATGAAGCTTGTATCTTATGAACAAAATTTTACATCAAACAGTGGCTCGATATAGTTGGTCAGTTTCATTTCAACTGAAAATTAACTAGAGTTAAATGTTGCATATTTCTAACATCTGAATGCTTGCTTAATTTAAAACCGAAAAAAGCAAATTGCAGTTCTGTAACGCATTTGTTTTGCAATGAATTTTTTTGCATACCTCTAATTTTTTTATTATATTGTACAATAATATTTTTATTCCGTTTAACTAATCTCACTTTCAGTAATAATAATTTGTAAAAACTGATTCAACATGAAATTATAGGGCGTTAAAAAAAATTTCATGCAGGAATGCCTCTTGTGAGAATTTTCGTAGATCCATGAATGCTAGTTAAAAAGAGACTATTAATATCGACACGCAATTTTTGACGAATTTGAGATGTGGCAGATTAAATGAAAACATGCAAGGTTTAAATGTTTATACGTCCCGCCCAGATGGTAGGAAGGTTAGGGAAGCCTACTGCGATACCGAAGAGCCCGGGTTCTATTCCGGAGAAGGCATGGATGTTTGTAAATGTATAGTGTCTTTGCGGCATGGGGGCACTCTAACTACATGGCGAGCCGTAAGTTCTCTCGAGAGGTTGGTAGTAGGGTAAGAGCTGAAAGATCCTCGGACCCGTCCCCTTGGGGTACTCTTCATGAAAATTAGGGGCGGAAGTGAGTGAAGTCTTACAGTCACCTGTATCGTGACTGTAAGACTTCACTCACTTCACTCAGTATCGTGACTGTAAGACTGTAAGACTTCACTCATTTAATAGTCAATTTTATTTTTAAGATTTGGTAAAAGTTAGACACCTCGAACTATCTGAATTTCATAAAAATGAATAATTCCAACGACAAACTTACGAATTTGCTTCACGTCGAACTTACGAAAAACTTACGAATTTACAAATTTTAAAGACAAACTTACGAATCTTCACGTGCTTTAGCCAACGACAGGCATAATCTTGTCCTTGCCAGAATGAATTTGATCTGATGTTACTGTCTGATGCTACTGCCAGACAAGTGAGATAAGCCACAACAAGAACAACTCAAATGTTTATACATTTTCTGTACACAGAAATCTCTTATTAGTAAATTACTTTTACCCTACCAAAACGCTTTCCTTCTGAAACTATTTCTGTAATATGCGAAACTAAATTAGAGTTAAATTTTCAAAATTAATTATCTGATCCCATCCAGGAAAGGAAATAATGAAACACCTATTTCGGAATCGCATAAAAATCATATTTTTTACTTTCCTTTTGTATAGAAATCGGAATTCGAAATACATACAATTATTAATTTTCAGTATTTTTCTATTATTAAAAGCTTCTTTTCAGAAATTTGTATTCGAAGATTCATATTTATAACTCTCCTTTAGTAATATTTGTATAAGATCTTAATTAATTGTTAAAAAATTCATTAACACTATTTAGCGTCTATGATATTTCATAAGATTCATTTAAAAGTTATTTTCTCCCTTCTCTCTGCATGCCTTCGTGGTGTAATGGTAAGCACACTCGGCACGTATTAGAGAGGTCCAGGTTCAGGTCCCGGCGAGGGCATTACTCATTTTTCTTGTTTCTAACATTAAAAAAAAAAAAAAAAAAAAAAAAAAAACTAATGTCTCTACACATTTTGTTCTGTTCCGTTAATTCCACTAAAGAAAAACAAAATTTTCCTCCAGTTAATCCTTCTCTCAAGAGGAAAGTTCAAAATTTAGGTTTTGAACAAGTTTCACTGAAATCGTGTTACTTGGCCCAAGCTAATTAAGTCATTTCTCGAACTGAAATTATGAGTCAAAGATTAACCATCCAAGATACATTTGACCACGCATTTGTTTGGACACCCATTAAGGAGCTTGATCTTGTAGGTTCTGCCAAAATTCACCGACTCCTTGACTATAATAGTATGGGAAAATCCTAAAGTAATCATCACAAGAATAAAAAGTTTTACTAATCAGAATGAAATATTTCCTTCTTACCATGTCATTCGGACAAGTAGAATTTACAGTGCTTCCATCTGCGGCCGGTACCCATACAGATATCGGTCGAATAGCTCCAGGTTTGTGCCGGATTCTTTTACGTGCGACTTGATATATTTGCCAGTAAAGTATCAGGATAGCAACAAGTGGTACGTAAAATGTGGCACAAGTTGCAAAGATCTGATATCCAGAATCTTGGCTGACTAGACACCTAGAAGTATAAAAGTAGAGGAGGAGGATTTTAGTATAAATTCAAATTTAAATGCGTTGTAATTGGCATTTCATTTATCAAAGAATTTTATTAGTAAGTCCCCAAAATATCAAAAATTATGTAATTATGAAACCCATGTGAAAGGTCTTATCTATGATTGAATTCACATAAAATAAAACAGTTTCGGTTGGAGTTAATAACGGCAAAATAATACTACCAGTTCTCCATGTTACGTTTAAAAAATATGTTGGTTTTAATGAAAATACTTCAAAGGCTTCTTTAATTTAACTGTGAAGAAAACGTTTCAACTCAACTTTCTGCGTAGTTTATTTCACACTAGGCATTGCCTGACGTTTTAGAATTAATTTTCGTAAACGTCACTAATTAGTAAATGGGCTAGAACTACTGTTTATTTCTCTTGTTGCAATTATCTAAATTGCTGAAATGTGAATAGTGCCTTTTATATGAAGGTTTAGTTCAGAGTTCATTCATCCTGAGGTACACTTATCATAAGCACAAATTTATTGCTGTTAATAATGCGGCATTAAACTATGGTTCGAGATGCGAAGATTAGACAATTAAACTACTAAATTCTGCATCTTTCAATCGAAGAACGGGCTAATAATAGTTTACAAAACCTCAACAATAACTTTAGGACCATTTTTTTGAAACAACGGTTATAATTTGAAGCAAAACTTATCACAACGACGTGTAACATGATATCGGTCGAAGTTAATAATAATACCAGTTCTCCATGTTAAGTTTTAAAAATGATTTGGCTTTAATGAAAATACTTCAAAAGTCTCTTTCATTTATTTCCGCTTTCCTATTACTGTGGGAAATATAGAGCTGTTAAAATTTGGGATAGTAACTATGCAATTAAGTGACTTCAAATAGCATTCAAACCAATTACCGAAAACTCAGAAACTGTGCAAGATGTGCATAGAACTTTAATGTGGATTTAAAGTACATGCAGACTTACGTTTTGGGTTTTGGCTGTACAGTATCATTTAATTTTCTAATCGGTTATTTTAGTGCCTTTCCTATTCAGCCTCATTTCAGTTTCCTGCCAGAATGCAAATTTACAGCACTCGCGATATTCAAATTAGTTAGGAAGAATGAAGTATTTAAAGGAAGCTTTTGGTGGATCTTCATCAATTTTAAATTTATTCTGTACCTTTTGATTTAAGCCAAACGTTTTGGCTTCTGTAAGCACGAATTGAGGCCTGCTGTTAAACTTTATTCAAGTTAATAAAGGGTTCTCTTTCAACGTCGCTTACATTTTATGACAGGAAAAAATATACGGCATTACATGGCTATAACTAGATCTTATTCTCTCAAATTCTTTCCTCTTATGATAGTTAGGACTTATGATTAGCACTGTAGTGAACTTTTAATTACAATGCGAACATACTCTTGGAGAGCAAAATGAATATGAAAGATATGGGAAATGGGTATATATGATTAGATTTGGTTTACGATTTAGATGGGAAAAATATTGAAAGAATCTACAAATTTGGTGCATCATGCAAAAGAAATTTTGTTTCTTTTTATTACTTAATCTTTGGAGCTGTAACAGAAGACAGCCTGCATTAAATCAAACATTTTTTCATTTAATTTGTTTTCTATAATCAGATATGTTTTAAACAAAGGCATTTTTAGATATGCTAGTAATAAGTGCCTTTAATCATTACTTAGCAGTCTCGTTAGGTTAATTGAAAGTACGTTGCCTTAAAAATGTAAAAATTAATTTTGTATGTCTCTACACATCTGAAAGTTGATTGCAGAAAAACGATGCCAGGCGTTGGGAAAGAAATAATAAATATAGATCTACTGTCCAGATTTATTTACTATGTTTCTTCTGTTTTTTTTAAAGAATTATCGTATTAAGATTTTATATATTTATTCACTTTTTCACTCGCTACATCATTAAGCATAAAAACGGCGTTTTGATTCTTTTGGCTCACTTGGTATACGGTGGTTGACATGCCTGTTTTAGACATACGATCTGTAAAAATTCTAATACAGTAAGACTCCGCTTAACGCGAGGGATACGTTCCATCAAAGTAGAGCGTAATGCGAAACAGCGCTAAACGAGGCTATCTTTACATGTAAATATTGGGGTTAGGGGAAGATGGCTAGGAAATTGGTTAGGTATTAAATTTAAAAAGTATGTTTTTTTAATAAAAATAAAACCAAACATTTATTTCTTAAAGCCCAAATTAATACCACATTATTATTTCTTGCAAAAATAAAAACAAAATATAAATAACAAAACGAATATTCTTAAAAAAAAAAAAACAAATAAAATTCTCAGTCATATTTAATTAGCCTTCCGAGTTTTCAGTGTTCTGCCATTTTGTGACAAAAAGCATCTAATGTTGTTTGCCTTTTTCTTTTGCGTTGTTCTCTTAAAAGTTCTTCATAAACGGATAGAGCATCTCTAACACCACGCCTTACTTTTGAGCTCCTGTCAAAATTCGGATCATTTTCAATGAATTGATCCATTATTTCAGTTATGGTAGACAAACTCCTTTTTACAAACGCCATCGAAAGTTCTTTTTTGCTTCTTCTTCTGAATCACTGCTGTCAACATTTTTGTTTTCTTCTTGTTCAGTTAATTCCTTGAGCTCATCATTAGAAAGACTAGCCGCTGCTTCTTGAATTATTTCTTCGACATCTTCCACATTGACCCCTTCAAAATATGTCTGTACAATACCGCACCAAACAAGAAATACAAGTACACTCTTTCGGATATGTATTTGAAACCTATCGCTGCATAATATTTCGGGGAATCCCCGTATGCTGCGAGCTATTTCGTGGAATCCCCGGGTTGAAATAAAAGAGCCCTCAACCGAAACAGCGCTAAACGAAACAGCGCTAAGCGGGGTCTTACTGTACTACGAAATATCAGAAATTGAATACTTTTATCTATGTTTATTTTTGAATCAGTAAGAGACGAAATCCTGGCACATTGGCTCTTTCATTAAATGTAATACCTTTTCATATCAGCTTGATTTTGTCCTAAAATAGCGAATAATCACATATTTGTAACTTATGGCATGGACTGAGCTGGTATTTTATTTGGAATTTATTTAACCTTTTGCACTCGAGAGGTTAATCTTGGTCACTACATGATTTGATGCGTTAATTCGAGTGATGATTCTCGATCACCACTTGGTTTGATACGGTAATTCCAGTAGTAACGGTATTTATTCATTTAGGTTTGGTTTGGGAAGTATCGCTTCGTGAGTGTATTCAACAATACACGTGTATAAAACAACTGCCAATTTTTAATCTTAATACTTTTTACTTCCGTGTACAAAGTAAAGGAAGTGTTATAATCGCGAAAATTTTGGGTATCATATTTCAAAGAAAATATCCATTTCATCCGCTCCCGAAATCATTTGCACTATGTTTTTGCGTGACATCTGTGCGCAAGGACAGAATAAAGGATTGGTTTTGCTGAAAACGATTGTAAAATGGATTTGGAATGCATTCAGAAGAGATTTTTTTCCTTGACGTTTGTATTTACGTACGTATGTAAGCATCTCACGTAACGAGCAGCCGTAGAGCGTTCGGATTTTGTATAAGGAACTGCTATAATGTGTAGTTGCGAGTCTCCTCTTTTGATTGGAATCAGCACCAATCAAAATGTGTTACCAGGCTTGCTGAGTTTTTTTTTATTTTATTCTTATATGTTGGTGAATTGTGCATTTGATGCCTTAAAACTGATTGAATTATATGGTTTTTATATTCTGCTTAAGGTTTTTATGCCTTTAGTTAACCTGCATGCAATAGTTGTAGAATTATCAAGAGTTTAAAAGTTTAAGGGGCGAGTTAACCCTATCTAGCCGCCATTTGTTTACATTTGAAACTCGGTAGAATAGCAAATTAAGTCAACTTCTACGCCTTCAGTGTCTTTTTGCGGAGTGAAACCAAAAGTAAACTTTCAGTTTTGTGCACCAAACAATTTGCCTTCTAGCCTGCTGGCCGAATTGCTTATTTTGCGCAGAAACTCTAATTTTAATTGTAAAAATTGCTTTTTTTAACTGCTTTAATTGTATTTGGTGTTTTATGTTTTTTCTGTATTTTACAATTTTTAATGAAGATGATTCGAGTTTTTATCTATTTTTGCTTTTCCACGAAGTGAGAATAATCTTGTTTTATCCCGTAAATTTTATCTTTTCCGGCAGAGCATCGTCTCTTTCAAGTATTTCACATTATTTTATTCAACAAACACTACTATATAATTTCACTATAATTTTCATATGCAAAATCCCTATCAATATTTATCCAAATAAAAATTAAAATACCAAAACCTTTCAAGTTTCTTCATTAAAAGGAATTTGATGATATAAAGCTTTAATTATTCACCTACGAAAACACTTTACCTTGACACTAACGTCAAGACATCGCTATGGTCAATTTTTTTCTATTAGTCTCAAAACGGCATTTTCCGCCCTTTCACTTTTTAAACTGTTGCCACCAAATGTTGTCACCATGTATTATATTTAAAGAAACTAAATAATCAAATATCTGAATGTTTCTAGCATTGTGAAAAATAATGGTACCTAGAGCCTTCCAGTTCTGAATAACGTAGTCCTCCAACCGAACATGGGCACTGGGAAGCCCAAATTAAGAATTTGGAATTTATTTTATTATCTATTTCATGATTTATAAATCTTTAACGAATTTTTAATAAACACACTCAACGATTTCAAAGCGGCCAAAATTCTACGGGGGAAAAAAAAAATTATCTCCGCGCGAAACTTGGAAATTCTAAAGATATAGTCTTTTTAAATTATTTTCTGATTTGCGTTAAAAAATGCCCCTCTGGGCGTATTATAAAATCTGTTTTGCCAGAATTGGTTTCAGGATGTTTGATTGGAGTTGAATATTTGAAATTGCAACTAGCAGTTGAATCTTGAAATGATTCTAAGAAAATTAAGTTCTAATGTGTATTTATTATTAAAACTGAAATATAAAATCAACCAGTGACATTGATCTAAAATCAATGTCAGTATTAATACCAGTTTACTGCGTCCAGTATTTAATAAATACGCAGATACTGATGAATGTTAATCCAAAATTTGCTGTATGTATTATATAGTTCAGTACGCACATTATTATAAAATTATACATCCCTAAACTCTTACTTTTCAGATTAGCTTTTGGAATTCATTGTAAACATGCGATCCAAACAACAATTAAAACTTTTGGACCGATATTTCATTTTTATTTCAAGCTATTCGTTCTCCTGGCGATCTGGGATTCAATTTTAGGAAGGAAATTATTTTGATTTGAAAGGTAAATATTTCCCTGTTTCAAAGCAGATTAAAAGCAGACATAGAAATTCGGAAATAACAAGGGAATAGCCTATTTCGCTTCTGTTTATTCAACTCAGATTTTGATTCTTTCATCTGCCAACATGAGTTGCTTTCAACTTCCTTCTAGCGAAGGAGAATTGTCCAACTATTTCTATTATAGCTGTGTTGCTATTTCTGCTATCCGATTTTGACTCGACGAGCAGAAAATTTATTTTGCTTCTTAACTCACTTCGTTGCGCTTATTAATATTAATTTGCTCAGGAAGATAGTTTTAGAATTGAATTTTCCATTTCAGTTGCCACGTTTTGGAAAAATAATTTGATAAATATCTCTATTTTAGTAGTATAAGGGTTTCTAGTAAAATATGTTAAGGAAAGATTTTTTTTTGCAATAGTAAACATGCATTGACATTTGTTTTATTATATTTCATTATTGTTTCAAATATTGGGAACAGCCATTCCTAGATATTTCCAATGCGAAAGCAAAAAGAGAAATACGTGCCCCTCTGCATGCCGTGCAAAATTACACTTCGTAATATTATACTTGATAAAATTTCAAAATTAGTATTTTAATTCGCGGACCCTTAATTTTTACCAATTTTTGAGAAAGAAAACTTGAAAAAAAAAAAAAAAAAAAAAAAGAAAAAAATCTGAAAGCTTTTAGAATTTATATAACGTCCTTTACGCCCTAAAGGGCGTTTTTTAGCGTTTTCTGTGTTACCTAAATTATAAATTATTAAAAATCATTATTATTATTATATCATTATTAAGTTATTTATTAAATATCATGTTCTTCATACTTAAACCACAAAAATTTCAATTCAACAGCAATATCACAAAATATTTCAAAACAGCAAAACATCATTAAAATTTCCGATGCATAGTCTCGCGCGCTAGAGATAAAAATACTTTTTTCGTACAATGTTGCCATTGCTCACTTTGAAATCGTCGATTTTCTTAATCAAAAATTCGTTAAAGTTTTAAAAAATTTGAAATCAATAATAAAGCAAATTCGAAATTAAAATTTCGCCCTTCCAAGTGCCCAAGCTTGGTTGAAGGATTACGTTATTCAAAACTGAATGGCTCTAGGTACCGTCTTCACAGTACGAGAAATAGTCATGCATTCATACAGACTCTTCATTATTTAGTTTCTGTAAATATAATACAGGGCGATAAAATTTGGTGGCAACAGTTTCAAAAGTAAATCAACGGAGAAAGTGAAATGCTGTTTTGAGACTAGTAGCCCTTTGGGTTTAACACCCCTTTGGGATCGAAATAAAGTACACTAATTTTGTGTTGCTAAAAATTTAACATATTGGATTACATAACATAGTGAATTATATTAACTATTTCGTTTTCAGTATTTTTTAATATATTTCGCTCCTCCAATTGACTTTTCTGGACGTTTATAGCCACCTAAAATGGATCGATTGGAGTTCTTCCGAATCGGAAATTTGGTTTCCACTCGTGATACACGGTGTGGTTACGCCAAGAAAGTGGGAGAAATACCTCATATAATCCCCCTTTTAAAGGGCGACTGGGTTTTTTTTTAGGGGACCCAATCACCAAGTCCTGGGTGGGAAGAAATCATCATCCACCACCCTTTTAATTAAGGCGCCACATTAGGTTAATTGGGAAGTAGGAAAGATGAAGAATTAGCAAACGCCTTCGCCGGGAATCGAACTACGGACCTCTCGAATACCGGCTCAGTGTGCAGAATCACTACACCACGAAGGCACGCCAAGAAAGTGGAATAAATACCTTATAACTTCATTCCAACACTCACATAATATAATATGGCACAAATATGATTTTTCCTTTACCATTTTGATTACGTCCCTCACTTTCAAATCAAATGTCTGTCTCTAAAATAATGCACCGTATTCCCTTTTATCCATTTATATACTACATGGCGATGAAGTAAGGAATAGCTTTGCCTTCAGATAAATTTTCTACTATTTTATGAAAAAAGGATATGGAATTTTGCATTCATGTAATATTTACTGATTAACATTTTGCTCAATGGAAGGAAAAACTACAATCTTATTTACGATTTAATATTAACATTTAACATACCGCGTTGCAGAATGACATCTGACAATCTATCAAAAAACTAGCTTTTGAAAAAAGAGGAAGTATTTACTAGCGTATGCATATCGTAAAGTAGAAAACAGAATAAAAGGAAGTCGGTGTATGGATTAATCAAAGTCTTTGGATTCTGTTAAATTTACATGACGTGATATTCTTTGTGAATACACATGATTCTGAAGTAAAGTACTGAAATTGAATTTCTTTACAATTAAAATTATTTTCGTGCCTCGAAGGCGCAACTAAGGATATACACTCAAGAGCCAAAACATTATAACCACCTGCCAATAACCGAGTTGGGCCACCTTTGGCGCGCAACACAGCTTCAACCCGCCTTGGCATGGATGCCACAAGTCCTTGATAGATGGCCGGAGACAGATTGTACCAGATGTTGTAGCAACGATCACGCAAATCCGAGATATTGCGAATTGGTGGTCTTTAACCTCTGAGCTGCCGTCCCATGACATCCCAAATGAGTTCTATCGAACTCATTTGGGATGTCATGGGACGGCTGTTGTTCCAACAGGATAACGCCTCGTGTCACAAGGCTACAATTGTGTTTGAGTGGTTCCAGGAACATGATGCTGATTTCCAGTTAATGTCCTGGCCGCCTAACTCACCGAATCTCAATCCTAGGATTGAGATTCGGTGAGTTAGGCGGCCTTGTGACACGAGGCGTTATCCTGTTGGAACATTCCATTTCCAGCTGGAAAAACAGAGGCCATGTAAGGGTGCAACTGGTCCGCAATGATGATCAGATACCCTGTAGCATTCATGGTCTGCTCTACCACAACCACGGGTCCCAGAGACGCCCAAGAGAACGTCCCCCAGAGCATAACACCGCCACCACCGACCTGTGTATGACCTACTGTGCATTGAGGTAGCAACTGTTCGCCTGGAAAAGGGCGTATCCTGACATGGCCATCGGCGTGATGAATGACAAACCGTGATTCATCTGACCAGGCAACTCTCTCTCACTGATCCATGGACCAGTCGCGATGTTCTCGGGCCCAGCGCAGGCGCAGTTGGCGATGACGCTTGGTCAGCAAAGGCACACGAGTTGGACGTTTGCTGCGTAGACCCATATCCAACAGTGTCCGCTGAACAGTGTGCTCCGATACCTTTCTACTTGGCCCTGCATTAGCTGAGCCACTGTCTGGCTCCGGTTTTGCTTCACCATGCGAGACAGTTTCCGACGTCCTTTTTCTTTGATAGCGTGTGGACGTCCAACACCATGTCGTCTACTGCTGGTTTCACCGTCATTCATCCAGTTTTCATACCTACTAACAACTGTAGATCGCGAACAACCCACGAGTCGTGCAGTTTCGGAAATACTTGTTCCGAGCCTTCGAGCCATTACAATTTGCCCTCTATCAAAGTCGCTTAGATGCGCAGCCTTTCCCATCACACACAGAAGTAAGTGAAAGAATGATTCTTCAGACTCTCCAGCAGCAGTTAAATATCACTTCCACATGATCACGTGCCTTCCACGTCATTCAGGCGCGTTCATCGAAAAATGTAAGGCTGGTCATAATGTTTTGGCTCTTGAGTGTACATTAAATCTATATATAGAATTATTCTAACATTTTTCTAACATAACATTTACATATATCATTGTTCTAACATAGGTATTATGACACAAATTTGGACTTTTCTGAAGTGACAATCCTATTTTTTTCCATATTTCATTTCTACAACTTAAATCATGCCAAAGTGCCAACTTTTTCAGAAATTGCAGGAATAGTTTTTAAAAAATTAGCTTTCAAAATTTTAGCTCCTCATTGTTAGTTGAATTTGGTATGTATTTACTAATACCTCTTTTTTTAATTAAACTTACTTGATTCCTTCTTTCAGAATTCGAAATTTTATTTCAGTCTAAATAAAAATGCGCAGATATTTTCTGATTTATTTTTTAAATTTGTACTTTTTAGTAATTTTGATAAATTTTCGAGAACCCTTTTGAATTATAACATAAATTTTTTTACCATCACCCTAAAGTAGATGCATATCTGCAAAATTTAGATTTTTTGAACTCAGAATTATCCAAGATATACGTAAATTTATATATTGGCGAGTTTCAAAATTTGGCATATTTGTTATAAGCGATAATAACGCCAAATGTGGTTTACGCACTTTGTTAAATTATTTGAAAGAATGAAAGATGCTCTTTTTCCCCCTCGTGCACAATGAAAAGGAAAGACAAATAGGTTATCATAAATAAAAATTATGTTAACTGTATTATTCTTGGCGCAAACCGAACAAAGTGTATCAAGTTTATTTTTTTAAAATTTCTCGGTAAATTTCTCCCCAAAATTTAATATATAGGCATAATTTGAGTTGTAGAATCGAAACATGGAAAAAACTTACTGTGTCATTTCAGAAAAAGTCCGATTTTGTTCAAAATACCAATGTTAGAACAATACTATATATAAAAATATATATCCTAAGTCCAGCTTTCGAGACGTAAAAAATTCTAATTAAATTTCGCCAATCGACCCAGTAGAAAAGAAGATAGATTAGAACTGAACCCTCTTTTGTGCATAGTATACATATTCATTATATTGGCTAATATTGTAAACATGAATAATATTTGTTTTAAAAGGTACTTTTAAATGTTTGACTAGTGAATGCTTGTCAGACGAGCACTCTGAACATTTCCTTATTATAAAAATCTGATGTGTACACCACATGACTTCCTTGTATGGAATATTAAATTATACGCATTTTTTTCTTGCATTTCATTTAAACTTATTGGATTGAATTAAATCTACTTCGCCGACAGCGCATAAACCACAATAGAATAAATGCATTCTTTAAAATTCACTCTCTTTCTTTACCATAACGACACTCTGGCGCTAGGTTCACTTAAAAGTATTATATTTCGTTCATATTATAATTCAGAATGCACAAAATTTCTATCATTTAAAGAATTATCTAATCGTTGCCACATGTTCTATTCAAATACTATAATAAAGCTAGAACGATGTATAAAAGAAATGAAGCAAACAAAACAAAAAAGAAACAGTTTTTCACAGACAATTCAGTACTTCTCATTCAATTAATTTAGTTCTCAATTCACGACAAGGCAAAAATACATAAAAAGTCAAAATATCTGTATTAAAAATTACGAAGTAAATCTTAAACACTTATTTCCTCAAAAAAATTCCAAAAATTAATAAGTATGATGTTATTCGCAATAATAAATGAAGGCGTTATCTTTTTAGTTGCGAAGCTAAGTTTCTCTAGATTGGCAACAAATCCACTATTCTGCTGTTTCAAATGTAAACAAGCAATGGCCGCCATTAAAAACATTATTAGGCTTAGCGGCACTTAAACAACTTTAAAATTGTTTATAATTCTAAAAATATTGCATAGAGATTTACTAAAAGGTATAAAAAACTTAACCGGAAGATAAGAACAACATAATTCAATCATTTTTAAAGCAAAAAATGTACAATTTACAAACATATAAGAGTAAAGGAACTGGGATCACTGAGCCGGGTATCAGAGTGGATATATGTATAAATATATTTATATACGTTTGGTGCGGCCGATTGCAACCAAAATACGAAGTGCACATCTACATGTTATAGCAGTCCCTATATACAAAATTTCAACGTTCTGAGGCTACTCGTTTTTGCGTTATGCGAGGTACGTACGTACACAAGTACGTACATACGTTCGTACAGACGCCACGAAAAATTCTCTTCAGAATTCATTTTAAAGCAGTTTTATAATTTTTTTGGAGGAAACAAGTCTTTTATTCTGTCCTTACGTATAGATATCACGCAAAAACATCGTTAAATTGCATTCGATAGCGGTCAAAATGGATATTTTCGTTGAAATATGCTGCCTGAAACTTTTCGCGATTACAATACTTCCTTTTTACTTCGTACAAGGAAGTAAAAATGCATTTCAGGGATGCATTGTCGGAACGCATTTTTATAATAAGGAAAAATATTATGATTCACTCATATTCGCAAAATATGAAATTTTGCTGAAAAACGATAAAAAATTATTTTAGATATTAAAAAACTAGTGTTTTCTACATTTAGAGTTTTTTTCCCTAATAAATAAGTACCTTGACTCGATTACTTAGAATATTTTCGAAAAGAAATAGCCTTAAGAAACTCAAGAATAATAATGTTAAAGGACCACAAGGATAATAATCTCAATACCTCACAAAAAAATTTTCATTAAAATATTTGTGAAAAGAATTTCCCCTTTACTTTTTATTATGTTACGTAGGCCATTCATTCTTGCTTTCGGGAGAAGGATCCGCTAATGGCTGGAATTTCTGGATATCTGGAATAAAATATCTGCTAGCTCCTCGCATCGCCATGCCAAAGGAAGCGCTTCTTGCATCATAACAACCCAATGCGTGAATTGCATTAATAAACCAATATCTTGGCCAACAACAATAAAATTGATTTTTTAAGTATTTAAGTGAATATTTTCTTTTCGTCTTTTGTATGCATATTTCGATTTTTTATGTGACGGTTAATTTCCACATAGTTTGGATATCTGTTTTTTTCTCTTCAATATTTTCATTTCTTCTAAAAATACATTATTGATTACTGATAATTCCAGTTACTATTCCGAAAAACCTTCGAAACCACAGCCAAGTCTCCGTCATATTTAGAATAAAAGTAGAGCTTTATTATCCTAATTTTATTAATTTTCTATTGATACGTGTTTTCACGTGGTAATTTTACTCTGTTACTGTCTTTTTGTTAACTTTATTCATTTGTTTATCATTAATACGTAGCGACATTAGGTTATTTCGAAGCAGGAGAGATGAACAATGAACAATGCCCTCGCTGGGACTCGAGCCAAGGACCTCTCGATTACGAGCCAAGTGTGCTGACTACTACACCACGAAGGCATGCTAAGATGGCGGGAGAAATACTTTATAAATAAATGCATTAAATTGCAACATTCATAATTGATGTAAAATAGCAAAAATTTATTCTACAAGCAAGTCATTACCGCGATAATGTTAGAGAAAAAGGATTCAGTAATGAATGAATAATTTCTCTGATATCTTGGTAAAACTGACTGCAAATAAACAGGTTGTTAAACTAAAAACGTTGTTAAAGTATTCAGAAAGCAAGAGGAACCAAGTTCACCAAATATGCTTTTTTATTATGAACAAATAATGGATAGCGAAAATAAAATTTATGGAAGGAGCCTTAAAATCGAAAACAGGTTTGATTAGTTTCTGGTAGAACATATAGTAAAATTTCCGTATACTAGGTTGAGTCACTCGCAGTTAATAGCAATTGAACTAAACTATTCAGAAACAAAGTGCCGTATTATATTCAAAATGTTCTTCAAATGATGGCGGACAGGAACATAGTAAGAAGAGCTCAAACGGTACCAATACTATCGTCCTACAATGATCATACTGTGGTCATTTTTTTCGTTGCTGAAAATTAAGATAAGGCTGTTTTCTTGGAATTCTACCTCTCAGTCCAACATCTTTTAATCTTCTCCTGATTGTTCTTGAACTAATAGAAACACCAGCATCATTCAGATCACTTCTGATGGCCGCTGATGACATTTTTCTATCTTGGAGACATAGTCTTTTTATTGTTCTGTCATCAATAGATGTGGTGCACCTTTTCGGCCTATTCCTTCTTTGGTTTTTATTGAATATGTCTCCTGATATCGTAAACAAAACTTTCGGACTCCAGAAGT